GACATTGGCTAGTAGACGGAACCCGGAGGAGGCCTAATCTGTGTGATCTAATGGGTCTTTGGGAGGTAATTGGCAGCAGGTGGTCTCTCAAGTACCAGCTCCCTTAAAATTATCCATTCCAGCTTAAAAACCCTCAGCATTTCTGCTTAGCAACTGAACGGACGGTTCTTGGACTGGTGTGGTAGCTCGTATTTGCATCCCACAAGCAACCAAGATAGAATGTGGTTTCTTGACAGTCAGGGATGGAATGTGTAACTTTCAAGTCATTCCTCCATGATCTTTGCCGTAAAAGAATATTGGAGGCAAACAGGTTTCCCCTCCCACTTGGTGGCGTCCTTGTTCAGCGCTAGTTTATTTGTCTCTGGTTTTTTTCCCCATCATCTGTAAGAACCAATTAGGGGGATCTAATTTTAAAAACAAAGGCCGTTGAACATGATTTTTTTTACAAATCCTTGTCTACTATGCAAAGTAAGCAAGCTGAGAATTCTCCTTCTTTGATTTGCTTAAGAAAAATAAATAAACGAAGCAGTTTCCTTAGAATAGGTAGCACTATGCAACGTTCTTAGCAGTGGCTTTTGGTCTGAGGAAGCCTTTGATATAATAGAAGGGATTGCCTTGGTTTACTCAGCCATGAGATGCCCCAATAGCCCTTGTCCCTCTGCGGATGGTCAAACCATGGACACCCTCTGGGTGCCCTGAGGTTCTTTCATCTGCAAAGTTTTGCTGGCCACTCACAAGATCTTTGCAATGTGCTGGAAGTCTAGGTTACGTCTCATATACGTATCCCATATACATACATAGGAGTGTCAAATAGTGCTGAACCTGATTTGGTTTATCCAGTGAGTCGTAGCCAGTCGTGGGCTCCCAGTCCCTTTGCAAGGAATGACTGCCCCACTTCCCTTTTGAGTTTGTGCCGAGGGTCAACTACCCCTTGTCCTTTACCTTGGAGTCCTCAGAGCTCGCCTGCTGGTTTGTTCTTTTATTTCATTTATATACCGCCAAATCCAGTAGCCCAGCGCATGCCCTTTTAGTCCTATTTCAATTTCAACTTCAATTTTTAATGGATTTGTATGCCGCCCAATCCCGGAGGACTCCGGGCGGCTTCCATAAAAACAGTTTAAAAGAGAAAATTTTAAAAATTTAAAATATAAGACAGAACGAATTAAAAGAAGGACACAACATACACTCGATCTTAATGGGGCTGAAGGTCAGTCAAGATCAGCAGCCCCAGGCCTGCCGGAACAGCCAGGTCTTAACAGACTTTCGGAAGGCCGAGAGAGTGGGGAGGGTCCGGATTTCAGGGGGGAGGTCGTTCCAGAGGGCTGGGGCAGCTACAGAGAAGGCTCTCCTCCGAGAAGCCGCGAGACGACATTGTGCAGTCCTACTCGGGAAGAGAACCCTCTTCGATGTGAGTTGGGCTTTTAGCGCTGAGGAGGCGGCCCTGGGGAGTTTCAAATCTTTACCTTGGCTTGTTCAAAGTTCCCTAGCCTGGAAACGTAGAACCTAGAAGAGGAAGAAACGGAGACAGTTATGAGGAGGGGTCCACTTGAATGGCTTCCCCTCCCCTGTTTCATCATTCCATCTGCAAGGACAGGGACATCCTTGTGGCCCACCTGTTCTCCTCCTGAAACATCACTTCCCTCCTCCTCCTCTTTTGCACGTGGCTGTCCCTGCTTCCATTCCGCCGGGGCGTTTTGCAACGGCCGAGTTCGTGGCGCAATCTGGCGTGGTCCCTGCTCACCCTCCGTCTGGCCGCTGCACATGGAGCCTTTGTGAGCCTACGTGTTGCAGCAGAGAGACGTTGCAGCCCCAGACTCCGAATGCTCAGAGCAGCTCTGGAGCTGGCGAAGAAGGAAAACCCCAGCAGGTCCATTGCAGTTTGTGTGTAAAGTCTCCGTTTGCCAGCCGTGGGGATCAGGAAAAAAGGGACTTTTTATGCTAAACTGAAAGGCTGCAAATACAGATTGAAGGGACAGATGGATTCTGAAAGGCTGGTAGGCAGATGGCCAAAGGGATGTGCATCTACCTGGATAAAGCCAAGCTTGGGCAGCCAGGTATTACTGGGAGGGGGGGACGGGGGGGGGGAAGAGGTGTGTGAGCTGTTGATCTGGTTGGCCAGCATCCTAGCAGTGTGTTGCTATGCAGCAACAGGGATGTTTTTCCTACGCTGGAAAAGGGAAGTGCTCCCCCCCTCTCTCTCTTTCTCTCTCTCCCACCCTCCCTCTCTCTCTCTCTTCCTTCCTCCCTCCCTCCCTCCCTCCCTCTCTCTTTCTCTCTCTCACACACACACATTGAGACTCTGCCAGATCCTTTCCTCTTGAAATGCCAATCCTGCAGATATGTGTAAGGAAACTCCCCAAGTGCTCCTTGAAGGCATCTATCTGCAGGGCGACGCTGCAGCTATTCAGTATTTCTACGTGCTTTGCCACCCAAAAGCTGCTGCTTTTCCTGGATGGTGAGAGAGGAATGCTGTAAAAAAAATAATAATTCCTTCCATTTGGAGAGGCCACAGATTTCCCAGAGCCTCCTTTTCGCTCAACCAAACTCGGGAAGGGAATCTCTCCACTGGAGGATTTGGGCACTCTGAAGAGTATTTTGTGTGGGTGTTCTCGCAAAATGGGGCAAAGTAACTCCTGACCCAAAAGCCCGGTGCAGATGTTTCGCTTCGCCTCTTGGCTTCGACTGCCCAAACTCTAAATGTGGATTAGTTGACTTTGGTGAGCGCGATAGAAGAATTTAGCCTCTGGGGCTCATGTCTTAAATTGTATATATTGAGTTCTGGGTCAACCAATAATGGTTTAATGCAACGCGTGAAGCTTCTCAGTCCCATCTTCTGCGGTGGAAAACGGGACGGAGACATCACAACTGGAAAAGTTGAGGGAGATGACTCAGGGACAATCTGTAAGGATCATTTTAAGTTGGGTCAGTTGAGCAGGGGACAGTGAAGAAAGAAACCTCCTAAAGGGGGAACTGAACAAACCCTTGCATTGGACCACACAGTGTTTTCAACCTTAGCCACTTGAAGATGTTGTGGACTTCAACTCCCAGAATTCCCCAGCCAGTCCACAGTTGAACTCCCACAACCTTGAAGTCTGGGAGTTGAAGTCCACCACCAAGTAGTCAAGTTTGAAAAACCCTGGGACCTGGGAATCATTGGTTCTGGGGTTCCCTGAGATGTGGAAATTCCAGCAGCCATTGACCACCTCACCTCCCCCCCCCAATTGATCTGGGGGGTCCCCCTTATAATCCTCTCCCTCTTTTTCTTTCCTCTGTTCCAGGGTTCAGCTCCCATCCTAGTCGTCATGGTGATCTTGTTAAACATTGGAGTCGCCATTTTGTTTATTAACTTTTTCATCTAAACCGAGACTGTCTTGTTTGCAAAACTCCAACCGGTTAATAATTAATAAAAACAACAACCACAAAAATCAAACCCCGCCCCCAAGCGGTCTGAAAATGGGGATAATGCTGCGAGGGACCCAACGGGAGAACGATGTCGTCGTTTTGAACTGTCCCGCGACAACTTTCAAGTCTTTTCACAGAAGATCCACCACCACCGATTGAGTCTCACTCACAGTTTGCCTTTCTCCCCCCACCCCACCCCGTCCCCTTCCTAGGTAATGTTTTTGGATTCCAGCCCAGAATTCTTTGCTTGCACAATCCTTTTGCTGTGTGGCATGGCAGAATGGTAGCAGCAGCATTTCCGCCCCTCCCAACACCAGACAGGACGGAAACCGTTCCTCCGAGTGGATTTAGCCAGGTCTAGGAAAGTGGTTTCATGTGAATTGCCTCCATCTTCAGACGTTTAATTCACGGCAACCTTCGGAGCGATGCGGCGGTCCTGGCATTGCTTGGTGATATGCACGGTGGGGGGGCCTTTGAGAAGATCCCAGGGCGATCCCGGTGTTCGCATTGAGCTGGGAAAGTCTGCGTGGCCAAAACAGAGAACGGTCCGAGCCAAATGGCACTCAAGGGGTGATGTGGATGGTCGAGAACCATTTCTTGAATCATTTAAACAGCCATATCCAGCACAAAAGTCTTAAGCCCTTCCCTCTCCTCATCCAAAGTATTTTTTTCCCCCACCCAATGAGTTAAAAACCATTCGTTGTCCCAGGCGACAATAGAAAATTATTCTATTTATTTGCAAATTTTATTGGCCATCCGTCGTACCAAAGTTTTGCATAAAGTCACCTGCAGGATGCTGAGGCTCAGGTAAAAATCCTGTATCTATAAACTGCACCGTCTTTTTTTTTTTTTTTTAAAAAAAAAATCTAATTCGACACATTTTTTTTTCATCCTTTCCGGCAGGTGTTTAAAATAAACTCCAGAAAGGTTTTGTTTTGTTGTGAAAGATGACCAAGGTTTGTCCAGGAAACGCCTCCTCCAGAATTGCCAAGGAGTCGGCCCCTCTCTATGGGGGAACAATGCTTGAATGTTTCCCCCCCCCTCTCCCCTCCTCCCAAGAGCCACCGTGGCACCGCGAGGAACGGGGCGCGACGGGCATCCCTTCTTCCATCTTGCCATGAGCCATTTCCAGATGTCCCGCTTGGCCTCGGAGCATGTAATAGTTTTGCATTTTGTCTGCAGGATGTATATTCCAGCTTCCGACATAACCCCTGAACAAAAAAAAACAAAAAAAAAAACAACACAACCAAAACCAAAACTAGAGAACAACAACAACAACAACGAAAACATTGTCAACAACAGCCTCTGAGTATGTAATGCTCTTTTTATAATTTGTTTTCTCTCCTCTATGTATCACTTAATTTTGGTATGGTTCAAAACATCTTTATAAGATGCCTGCGTTGTTCTTCTTTCTTCTTCTTCTTCTTCTTC